ATATTGATTGATATCCTATAACCAGTGTAAACTGACTTATGTCTGTAGAGTATTCGCAGACGCGTGGGAGCGGGTCTAGGAGCGGCCTCCAGTGAAAGTGTGCCGGCGCAATATCCACTGTGTCTCAACATCGCTCGGTAACATGATGTAGCATATGGACACTTGCTGCGCGACGTGCGACCGCTGTATATTGAGAATATTAAAATTATACTTTAGTATGTATTAAACATTTGGTATATTATTTATCTAATCTTTCTTCATTAGAAAATATAGAAATATTAAAAAGATGATATCACAATATAGTAAGGGCTACTAAAATAACATTTTTTTTTGTAAAAGTTAATGATTGTTTTCAACACGATAAAGGAAAAACTACGTCTCTTTACTGACATTCAATAAATCTGATTGTATTCAATGTTTGCAGCGTCGTTTTATCAAGTGGTTATACTAACAGGAAGTGTTTGTCACTGTCAAGCGGCGTGTCACACTCGCGGCACAGAAGACCCTCTTGTATGACCAACGTGACACCTTCATACGTGTCGCTGATGGCGTGACACGCGACGTCCTTGATGGGTGGGCGGGCTTTGTTCTGAAAATAATATATTATTATATAATTGCAGTTTGTTAATTGTAGATAAATAAGCAGCAGTATATACAAGTAGCAGTAGAGTTATATGACGTACATACCTTGGGCAGGTTAATCAAGTGCTCAGTAGAACACAGAGGTAGGTAGAACCTCCTCGAACGGGTTGAGGTCTCGAACCTGATGCTCTTTCAGTTGACCTGAAAAATATTATTTTTTTTATTTATTTAAAAACTTTATTGTCTTACTACACACGTAGATACAATAGGTGGACTTAATGCCTGAAGGCATTCTCTGCCAGTCAAACCTTAGGAAAAGCAGAAAAACATGAAGACGGTTGCAGTATGTTAAAAAAAAAAATATACATATAAGTTTCTATTGATATATAAATAATATTTACACATATATATAGATACATATACATACACATACATATACAGATACATACACATACATATACAAATACATACACATACATACATATACACATACATACATATACACATACATACACACACATACCAATAGATATATATTATATACCAAAACAATAATAAAAACAGAGACTTAATACAGATTCTGAGCAAAATGTTCCTGTACACGACGCCTGAAAATTGCCCTTGTAGGTGCCTTTCTAATTTCTAGTGGAAGTTTATTCCACAGTCTGATAGATTTTACATAGAAGGAGTTAGAGAGGAAACTAGAGTGGTGGCTGGGAAAAGAGAGGAGGAGAGAGTCATTAGAGCGTAGCTGTCGAACATGATTGTCACAGAGAAATTTAAAATTATCTTTTAAGTAAGGAGGAGATTGGGGATCAAAAAGAATGGAGAAAAGAAGACACAATAGACGTAATTCTCTGCGTTGGCGGATGGGAAGCCATTTGAGCTCTGCTCGACAGTGAGAGATGTGGTCAAATTTACGAAGACAAAAGATAAAACGTAAGGAGTTATTTAGGAGACGGTCAAGTTTGTTCAAAAGGGTTTCATTGAGATCAGGATAACACACATCAGCGTAATCTATAATGGGAAATATAAGGGCTTGTACAAGTAAGATTTTAGTTTTAATAGGTAAAAAATTTCTTAAACGATTAAGGCATCTTAACGTGGCAGTGACAGAACGACTAACTTCAGAAATATGCACATTCCAACTTAATGTAGAATCAATATGAAGTCCAAGATCTTTAACGTGGTGGAAGTATGGAATAGTCGTATTGTTAAAAACGATAGGTGACAAAGAGGAAATATTTAACTTAGACATGAGACGTGAGCTACCAACAATGATCGCCTGACACTTAGTAGGGTTAACTACAATGCCAAATTTATTAGACCAGTTGTAAACGTAAGAAAGATTTTGATTTATTTTGTTTATAGCTGTTTCGATATTGTCTATCTCGGAATAAGAGTATAATTGCAAATCGTCGGCGTAAAAATGATAAGAACAGTCGAGATGATATGAAAGGAAATTTATAAAAAGAGAAAAAATAATAGGAGATAAAGTGCCACCTTGCGGAACGCCAGCAGGAAGATCAAGCCACTCGGAGAGGGACTGATTCAGCCTAACCGCCTGCCGGCGGCCGCGAAGATAAGAGGAGAACCATTCCAGAGCTGATGAAGAAAATTTCAAATGCTTGAATATGGCCAGGACGATATCATGATCAACCATGTTAAAAGCATTGGAAAAATCAATTAAGACCAAAATGGTGATCATTCTATTCTCCATGCCAACCCGAATATCCTCAGATACTTTGAGAAGAGCGGTAGCTGTGCTATGGCCTGGTCGGAAGCCAGACTGATATGAGGTGAGAATATTATTATTGTAAACAAAGGAAGAGACTTGCTTGTAAACACACAGCTCCACAATTTTCGATAGAAAAGGAAGAATAGAAATAGGTCTGAAATTATTTAGTTGGGAAGGATTGGGAACTTTAGGAAGTGGAATGATATAAGCTTTACGCCACAAGGAAGGGAATTCTCCAGATGAAATGGAAAAGTTTACGATATGAGTAATAGCCGACAGTACATAGTCCAGAATAGGTAAAATCATAGGTCGATTGATACTATCGACACCAGTAGCATTAGATGTTATTGAGATGATTATTTTACGAATTTCTTCATCAGACACTGGAGAAAGGACTAAGTCGTTAAAAGGAAGAGAGGCCATGGATTCAATCTCAGAAATAGTTGATAATTTAGTATTGGGAGATAACGGAGAACTGGAAGAAAAATATCTGTTTAATATATCAGGAGAAAACGAAGAGACAGCAATGTCTTCATTCCGTTTATTTATACCTAGTGTTTGAAGAAATTTCCATACTGAGGCCGAAGATGCATTGCTCACATTAACGTGACAATAGTGGCGTTTGGCTGTTCTTACCATTAGATTACATCTGTTGCGAGCTACCTTATACAAATCCCAGTTTTCTTTGCTCCTATCAAGCTTAAACTTGCGGAAAGCGCGATCGCGTCGTGACATGGCCATTCGGACTTCTTTGGTAATCCAAGGAGCAGGTGGACGTCTGATCTTAACAGGTCTCAAAGGTGCGTGTTTATCGAACAGTGATAAAATAGACAAGTTAAAGTGAGAGACTTTGTCATCTACTGTCGATGAACGGTACATCAGAGACATGTCCAGCGATCTTGCATCTTCTTTCAAAGCCTCAAGATCGATTTTAGCTAGGTTTCGCATCAACACTATTGGAGCTTTAGCTTTAGGTGGCTTAAGCTTGTATGATAAATATATAAGGTCGTGACGAGAAAACCCGGGAGCTGCAAGTTGACCATATTTAATCACAGAATTTTTAGAAGAAACTATGATAACGTCCAACCAAGTGTCAGGCGAGTCAGAGTTATGATGTGTAGGTTCAGAGGGAAGAATGTTGAAATTCACCGAATCTATGAGTTGGGAAAATTTAAGAGAACGTGGAGTGGTTTTCAACAGATCCGTGTTTAAATCGCCCATTATAATATGATGTGAGTAATCCGAAGAAAGGGACTCCAGGATAGGTTCAAGTGAAGAGAAATAGTCAACAGTAGGAGGACAATAGATAACTCCAAGAACAGCTTTTACACCCCTGAGACGGATTTCAAGGAATATAAATTCAGCAGAAAACGAGAAAGAAGAAGGAGAAGTAAAAAGAACAGTATAAGCAATATCCGAACGAAGGTAGATAGCAACACCTCCTCCCCCTTTGCCTACCCGATCGTTCCGAATCAGCACAAAACCGGGAAGACTATATAAGGTGGGATTAAGTGAGGGTTTCAACCAACTTTCGGAGATCAATACTGCGTCTACAGGGGCGTATGAAAAGGCTTCAAGAAAATCAGAGAAATGAGAAGGTAAACTTTGAGTGTTAAGATGACAAACATTAAAAGAGCTAGGAGAGTTAAGAAAAGTACTACATAGCAAAGTCCCAAGCGTCTCAGGAACATGGAAAGAATCACCATCTGTGTACGAGGAACAACTACTACTGCATGCTGATAAAAATACATCATCATCTGTATCAGACATAATACTACAATTATATTATAAATAAGATAAAAATACGTATACGATAAATTAATTATTAAATAAATGGATTTAAATATATATGTATAAAAAAAAATAAAGAAAAAATAGGTATATATAAAAAAACAAAAAAAAGAAGAATAATAACAATTATTCCTGCTTGTCCCGCCAGCTGACGGTTACATTAAAACTGTACTAATCATTAAATACTAATGATAACAAAAGAAATATATATATAAATATAAAAAAAAAAAGTTAAAGAAATAAAAAAAATAAAAAATTACACACTAAACTTTAAATGACCAGAGCAGTAGACTTAACAATGACCTTAATTACCGTTAACAAGGGTATTCTTAATTATTATTTCTACGAACAGCACCAAAGTACAAAATCTAATAATCTTTATATTACAATAGAAAACCTATATCTAACATATCTACTAAGACTAAAAATTATTAAAAATTAAAGTGTCATATATTTACATAGGTTAAAATAAATATAGTTGTAATATAATATGATTAGTTGACACGTTAAATTTATTATCTATTACAATTATCTTTGACAACTGTCAGTATAGAGAAAGATACTATTTATGTCAAGTGTCAGCGTCAATGTAATTTATACAAATACCGAAGAAAATTCTAAGTTATTATAACCAAATAATACATAAATGAATTGAATTACAATTCAATAATACCAGAGCGGCTAAAGTGAATAGTAAAAAGTATTATAGTTTAAATATGTACATGATAAATAAAGAATACCCTTACCTTAGCAACGATATCAAAATTGCTCTGGGGATTTGTTATTAATAACAATATTGTCAAAAGAGCATAATACTCGAATAAAATAACACGAGGAACTACAATGTTAAAAAAAGAAAAAATACTAAGAAATAAATAAATGAGGAACACTATTTCTTTGCCCTCACTGCTCGCTTGGGTTTTGAATTGTATCCTGATGATGAGTCCTGATTTCCGCTTGAAGGTGCCTCAGCAGTGACATCGGTATTTACGGTCAATTTAGAAAGGCTCTCCTCGGTATCAATACGATGTCTGGTGCCATCGGGAAGCTTAGCAATGATATTCCCGTCTAATGTCCAACAGTTCTTCATCCCTAATCTTTTGCGCGCGAGCAAGAACAACGACTGACGTTGGTGGGTTAGAAACTCAGACAGCACAAAGGAGGAGCCCTTAAGACTAGCCTTCTTCTTCCACACAGCAGTTTTCAGATTGAGGTCGACAAACCTCACAAGCACGGGACGATGTTTGCCCTCAGAATGTTTGCCAAGACGATGACAAGCAATAATCTTATCCTTGGTTACATCTCTTATACCAAGCTTATTATTGCAGATATCAGAAATAGAATTTGAAAGATCCTCATTAGGTTCCTCCGGTACACCATTAAATAACAGATACTTTCTTCGGTGTCTCATTTCAATATTATCAACAACTTGATTGAGATCAGAGATCTGTTGCCTCAGAAGGCTTAATATTGACCAGACATGGTCCTTGAAGCAGTTGAATTCATCATAAAGACCGGCAACACTGACATTGCTTCCTGGGATACTTGCCTTGAGCTGCTTCTCAAATTCAGTCATCTTCTTCATCAACAACGATTCAAGTGCCTTTTGTGACTCAATCACATTATAATAGTTTGCCATGATTTGTGAAAAGTTTAATTATGTAATTTATAAACACAAAGTTTGCTTAGCTGGCAGGACAGTGCAGGTGGAATATTTAAATTAGCACTAAATGCATATGTTAAGCTTGAATAACACTTGTGAGTATTTAATCTGACTTATTCTTTAATAAACTGAAGTAATTTATTATCTTTTCATGAAAATAAATAATAAAATCGAAACTTATAATCACAGAACAGTGTTGTAGTTTTCTTTGCCTACCGCCCAAAAAAAACGTAATATAAAATATAATAATATTATACGTATTAATGTGTGTATTGAACTCATTTTATTGTAAATGAAACTAATATTTTTCGGATATACTACGCTACTTGATTTTTGATAAAAACTCCCGACGTTTCGGCTACTTTTCAGCAACCGTGATCACGGACAGACGAGATGTGAGCGTTTATTTTTATTGTATAATGAGACTAGAAAACCCGGCGAACTACGTTTCGCCACCAGGCTTTGTTTTATGTAACATTTCGTTTTGTGATTAAAAGATGAAGAATTTTTTTATTGTTTTATATTTGAAAAGGAAAATTTTTAATTTCGTTTCACAAGAGTAATGAATTCATTTCGATTACAGAAATGTAATGTTATTTAGTTGAACTTCTCTAAGTAAATAAAAGTGAATCCAAAGTAGATACCGAATCGAAGCGTTATACGTGTCCGCAAATTATCCGTTTCATTGAAGTGCTCCTTTGTAAACCACATTTTTTGTTTTTTGGTCTAACGTTAACACAAATAAAGCGGATGGTTTCCGAACTCCTGAACACGCAAAGTATAACTGCCCAAGTGATAAACAATGATTTTCTAAATTTATCCCGCAAATACTAAATGCTTTTAAGAGTTTAAACTACAAACACAATACCGGTTTGTCACATGAAATTAACTGAGCAGACTACAATGAGTAGCCTTCAAACAATGTATCATACACCGGCACCATCTACTTAAAATATTGATTTGTAGTACTGTTACGTATCAGAGATGGTGCTGCATGTGAAAAAAGATTGTCCCGCTTGAATGCAAAACCCTGGAAATCGGTTCGGTCGTTCTGGAGTTGCGTCAGGAAGAAAGAACGGACTTATTTTTTTATATAGTAGATTTAAGACTTGCGAGTATTAATTTAAATGAAAGTAATATTTTCGGAATACTTTGCGTATTTTATTATTTTTAAAAACACCACACTCCCGACAACTCGTCTGCCTTAATCATGGTTGCTGACAAGTAACTGAAACGTCGGGTGTATATATAATAGTTTTTTAAATAATAAAATACGCGAAACAATCCGAAAATATTAGTTTCATCTGTTTATATACATAGTACTTACAGTTGTACTGTTCACCGAGACGTACGAATATCAGCACACATCTCGTACACTTAATCTCCAGCTCCTTGTCCTGGTGTTGTTTGAGATAGCCCATGTAGAGGAGCACGTTGGCCGTCAGCTCACAGCCTTCAGCGTACACTGGAATCATCTGAAGACAGATATACGACGATTTTAATTTCTTCTACGCAGTATACTATTTGATGTGACCTCTTAAAATTAATATTGAAACTGAAATAAATGAATTCCTCCTCACGAAACGCATGTTTATTTAAGCCGTTTTTAAATTACTTTAAGAGTTTTGAATAAAGAGCAAATATGTTCTATAAAATTGTTATTAAGACATGAAAATTTTATTTTGATTTTATGTGACATGAAAATTTGGTTTATTTTGTTAAAACTAGGCACTATTTAAGCTTATTGAGCTATCGTGCCTCGCGCCTGAGCGGCAAATGTCATAATATATTATAATATAATCGCAAAACAGTATGAGTAATCACTAGTAGATACTCACAGGTTCTACTTCATCAGCAGGTTTTGGTTCTTCCCTGACGGTGTTGGCCCGTGCTAGTTCCTCAGTTAAATACGCGCTTGTGTGTTGTGTCACGAGGAGATGAGATAGAATGTCCGTGCCTGGAGTAATATTATATTAGAACAACAAAGTTTTTCATACAGAATTGCAAATATTTACGAACTGTATACAATTTTTGCGTCGTGAAAATAAAATCTGTTAATACTACATACTTGTTTAATTTAACGATGCCGTCGGGGGATTAAAATATTAATATTTTATTAGTTACTATAGTCATTGGGTATTTGTATATTTTATATTGATTTATATATATGCTGCTGGTCTAACAGTTACATAGTTAGTTATAAAATTTATAAAAGAAAATGAAAATATATTATATTGATTGATATCCTATAACCAGTGTAAACTGACTTATGTCTGTAGAGTATTCGCAGACGCGTGGGAGCGGGTCTAGGAGCGGCCTCCAGTGAAAGTGTGCCGGCGCAATATCCACTGTGTCTCAACATCGCTCGGTAACATGATGTAGCATATGGACACTTGCTGCGCGACGTGCGACCGCTGTATATTGAGAATATTAAAATTATACTTTAGTATGTATTAAACATTTGGTATATTATTTATCTAATCTTTCTTCATTAGAAAATATAGAAATATTAAAAAGATGATATCACAATATAGTAAGGGCTACTAAAATAACATTTTTTTTTGTAAAAGTTAATGATTGTTTTCAACACGATAAAGGAAAAACTACGTCTCTTTACTGACATTCAATAAATCTGATTGTATTCAATGTTTGCAGCGTCGTTTTATCAAGTGGTTATACTAACAGGAAGTGTTTGTCACTGTCAAGCGGCGTGTCACACTCGCGGCACAGAAGACCCTCTTGTATGACCAACGTGACACCTTCATACGTGTCGCTGATGGCGTGACACGCGACGTCCTTGATGGGTGGGCGGGCTTTGTTCTGAAAATAATATATTATTATATAATTGCAGTTTGTTAATTGTAGATAAATAAGCAGCAGTATATACAAGTAGCAGTAGAGTTATATGACGTACATACCTTGGGCAGGTTAATCAAGTGCTCAGTAGAACACAGAGGTAGGTAGAACCTCCTCGAACGGGTTGAGGTCTCGAACCTGATGCTCTTTCAGTTGACCTGAAAAATATTATACGTATTAATGTGTGTATTGAACTCATTTTATTGTAAATGAAACTAATATTTTTCGGATATACTACGCTACTTGATTTTTGATAAAAACTACATACTCCCGACGTTTCGGCTACTTTTCAGCAACCGTGATCACGGACAGACGAGATGTGAGCGTTTATTTTTATTGTATAATGAGACTAGAAAACCCGGCGAACTACGTTTCGCCACCAGGCTTTGTTTTATGTAACATTTCGTTTTGTGATTAAAAGATGAAGAATTTTTTTATTGTTTTATATTTGAAAAGGAAAATTTTTAATTTCGTTTCACAAGAGTAATGAATTCATTTCGATTACAGAAATGTAATGTTATTTAGTTGAACTTCTCTAAGTAAATAAAAGTGAATCCAAAGTAGATACCGAATCGAAGCGTTATACGTGTCCGCAAATTATCCGTTTCATTGAAGTGCTCCTTTGTAAACCACATTTTTTGTTTTTTGGTCTAACGTTAACACAAATAAAGCGGATGGTTTCCGAACTCCTGAACACGCAAAGTATAACTGCCCAAGTGAAAAACAATGATTTTCTAAATTTATCCCGCAAATACTAAATGCTTTTAAGAGTTTAAACTACAAACACAATACCGGTTTGTCACATGAAATTAACTGAGCAGACTACAATGAGTAGCCTTCAAACAATGTATCATACACCGGCACCATCTACTTAAAATATTGATTTGTAGTACTGTTACGTATCAGAGATGGTGCTGCATGTGAAAAAAGATTGTCCCGCTTGAATGCAAAACCCTGGAAATCGGTTCGGTCGTTCTGGAGTTGCGTCAGGAAGAAAGAACGGACTTATTTTTATATAGTAGATTTAAGACTTGCGAGTATTAATTTAAATGAAAGTAATATTTTCGGAATACTTTGCGTATTTTATTATTTTTAAAAACACCACACTCCCGACAACTCGTCTGCCTTAATCATGGTTGCTGACAAGTAACTGAAACGTCGGGTGTATATATAATAGTTTTTTAAATAATAAAATACGCGAAACAATCCGAAAATATTAGTTTCATCTGTTTATATAGTACTTACAGTTGTACTGTTCACCGAGACGTACGAATATCAGCACACATCTCGTACATTTAATCTCCAGCTCCTTGTCCTGGTGTTGTTTGAGATGGCCCATGTAGAGGAGCACGTTGGCCGTCAGCTCATAGCCTTCAGCGTACACTGAAATCATCTGAAGACAGATATACGACGATTTTAATTTCTTCTACGCAGTATAGTATTTGATGTGACCTCTTAAAATTAATATTGAAACTGAAATAAATGAATTCCTCCTCACGAAACGCATGTTTATTTAAGCCGTTTTTAAATTACTTTAAGAGTTTTGAATAAAGAGCAAATATGTTCTATAAAATTGTTATTAAGACATGAAAATTTTATTTTGATTTTATGTGACATGAAAATTTGGTTTATTTTGTTAAAACTAGGCACTATTTAAGCTTATTGAGCTATCGTGCCTCGCGCCTGAGCGGCAAATGTCATAATATATTATAATATAATCGCAAAACAGTATGAGTAATCACTAGTAGATACTCACAGGTTCTACTTCATCAGCAGGTTTTGGTTCTTCCCTGACGGTGTTGGCCCGTGCTAGTTCCTCAGTTAAATACGCGCTTGTGTGTTGTGTCACGAGGAGATGAGATAGAATGTCCGTGCCTGGAGTAATATTATATTAGAACAACAAAGTTTTTCATACAGAATTGCAAATATTTACGAACTGTATACAATTTTTGCGTCGTGAAAATAAAATCTGTTAATACTACATACTTGTTTAATTTAACGATGCCGTCGGGGGATTAAAATATTAATATTTTATTAGTTACTATAGTCATTGGGTATTTGTATATTTTATATTGATTTATATATATGCTGCTGGTCTAACAGTTACATAGTTAGTTATA